GGTGTGGATTTTTATGGGACTTCATAGGCAGGAGGAAGAAGAGAAAAGTGACCCACTTTCCAGGGAGAAATTTAGAACAGTTATAAGAAACAAAGGTGCAGGGGGATCGTGTCTCTAGTGAAGAATATTGCAGGGAAATAACAGAAAAAAACATTTGAAAAGGTAGGTTGTGGCTAAACCATGGGGGACCATGAGGTCCAGCATAAAGGTTCCTTGCAGGTTTCTGAGTGGGTTGGTGCTCAGACTCACCCTGTCTCCTGTACGTGGGCAGAGGGTGAAGGGTACGGTCGTCAGGGCCCCGGATGGAGGCAGCTGTTCTTGCATGGAGGCTAAGGCGACTGTAGGGCTTCCCTGGTGGCGCAGATGGTAGAGAAGCCGCCTGCCAATGAATGAGACCCAGGTTCGATCCCTGGGTGGGGACGATCCCCTGGAGAAGGGAATGGCCACCCACTGCAGTATTCTTGCCTGGAGAGAATCCCATGGACAGAGAAGCCTGGTGAGCTACAGTCCATAGGGTTGCACAGAGTCAGACATGACTGAGTGATTAACACTTTGACTAGAAGGCAAGTGTAGGGGTAAAGACAGAGATCCATGAGGCCAGGATACGGGAGAAATCATGCTTGAAAGTGTGAAAGATGCTTTCTCAGAACGTGAGGGGAGGGCGTTCCAACCACTAAGTAGACGCAGAGACTGGGACCGGAGGGAGCGGCTAAGGCGGCCGGAAGGTTCCAGATCTACAGGCTGCGGGGCTTGGAAAGACAGAGGGGGAGAAAGTGGGCGGGGCATGGTCAAAGTTAGGCTTTTTTTTTTTCTTTTTTTGAACCTGCAAAACAGAGGTGCTGCCAACCCACCCAAGTGAGTGAGCCATAAGCCACAGAGGTCAGGTCAGGTCTTGGGAGGACAAAGCTGAGATGTGGCCCCTGAGCACGGGGTGGTGGGAGCCACGGTGGGAGGTGATGCTTCATTGCTCACTATTATCTGCCTCCCTTCCTGGAGGAGAATGTCTCTCCCCGCCCTTTACAACCAGGCTCGACCATGCGACTCACCAGTGAAAGCGAGAGAAGAGTTACGTGTCACTTCCATTAAAGAACTGTAAAAGTCTACTGGTTCACACCCTTCTCCTCCCCTCTTCCAAAGAACTGGTGATGTCCACGTAGTGACGGCTTCATCAGCCTGACCCCAGGGTTAAATTAACACAGGAAAGACAGCAGGGCTGCTATATGGGGTGTGAGAGAGATCACTAGTGGCTGTAAAAGCAGTGGTTTGTTACTGAAGTATCACCTAGCCTAACTAGGTGTAGGGGTAGAATCAGGCTAGATCAGGGGAATGAAAAGTGTCCAGAAAGGGCAAGTAAAGGAAGACCGGAGGGTGATTTCCCAAGAGACTTAATCCAACAATTGTGAACTGTCATTTCACAGTCAGCGGAGTTACATTTCCCAACTTACTTTAAGTGTAATTTCTCAATACTGGGATTGCTTTTTCTGTATTAAGAATTTGCATCAACATAAGGGAAAGGATAAATTAGGAGTTTGGGGTATATAAAACAAACAAATAGCAAGGTCCTACTGTATAGCACAGGGAACTATAGTCAATATCTTATAATTATCTATAAAGGAAAGAATCTGAAAGAATATATATGTACACACACACACACATATATACACCTGTACCCTTGAAACTAACACAACATTGTAAAATCAATTATACTTCAATTTTAAAATAAATAAATAATTAAAAATCCTAAAACAGTTACTAGACAAAGTTGAAATATTCTTGAAATATTCTGCAATGAACAGTAATCACCCTCCCATACCAACAATTCTGCGTTCCAAATATTTTTAAAAGTTTTCTTTTTGCTTGTAAGTTTTTCTGTTAAATTCACCAGTCTAGCGCTCCTCCTTAGACTGAAAGAACTAAGATCAGGCATCGCTCTCAAGGAGAGTGCTCTTGCTTAGCAGCGGGGGAAGGCTTTCTGGGAGCCGCTGGGGGCTGGCCACCGGATGCTGTCGACTGCTCACCACTGCAGCCTGCAGGCTCAAGGGACGGAAGGGAGTTCCAAGATCAGGAAGTCAGGGGACTAAGAGTTTAGCCAGCAGATCGTGTCAGATATTTGTCAGCCTAAGACAGCAATTAAAACCCATAATACATGATATAGGGATTTCAAAGGAACTATTTGTCCAAATTATTTTTTAGTAAGTAGATTTGGAACGAGAATTTGTTTTTCATGAGTATTCTATTTCTTGTATTTTAGAGAATCCAAAGCAATTTTTAAAGTCAAGTCCACATCACTTCTTTCTCGTTTTTTGCTTTGCTTTGTTTTGTTTTTCACTATTGTTGCCCAACTTTCTCTTAAGATTCTTGTCTGTCAAATCACTGTTTACTCAAGCAGTTTTTAAAGGCAGTTGGTTTATATATATATATAAGTTTGGCAAAATTAGTGAACGTGATTTAACCTTTCTATACATTTTATGCATGCATAAATCACACACCTCGGTACGTTAAGCAAGTTACAATTTGTTATTATTAAAACATACAGGGTCCCTGATTTCTGACTCTTCTCTCTCTCTCCTTCTGCTTCCATGTATTTAAGTATTCTAAGAAACTAGCTCAGAGACCCATTGTGTTTTTAGAGCTGTACCCCTTTCTGATCAGTATGAGCACCCAGACAGTAATAAAAGGACAGCTAAGAGCTTTAAGAAAACTCCCGTTTGCCGGCATAGGTGCCTTGGATTCATACTGCAACAAAATGGGATGAGAGTCTGTAATATTCCAAGAGCTTTCTGGGCTACTTTTCATAGGTAGTTTTGCAGAAATCCCAGGGAAGGATAGGATTTGGCCTAAGACATCCAGTGAGTGTGCTGGGATTGTCAGTCTTTCCACCTGTATAATCTGTCTCTTTGCAAGCAGAGGCCCCCATAGGTCAGGAAGGCAGTGCCCTTCCAGACGTCCATCACCTCCTTCTTTTGGCTTTAAGATATTGGTACTAACTTTGCAGACTTTATTTTCCCTCTGGCTTCTAAAATTTTCTCCAGCTCCAGCTAGAAAGGGCCCTTCACCATTTCAGCACCACTCCAACCACTAGGTCAGTCTGGTGTCTCCACTGGGAAGCTATTTTATGTCAGCTATTTCTCACTACCCAACCCCAAGTAGTTTTCACTCATCCTCCTAGAAGACAGAGCCCTCATGGCTGTGATCCTTCCCATTCTAGGCCCTAAGGTGAGGGATGGAGGTGTGCATTCACAACTCATTTATGTAACAGAGATGAACTCACAGGGGAGCCTTTCTTAAGCCTAATGAGCAGCTCTACTCAGCATGTATGTATGTATGTGTATATATATACACACATATATATATATGTACGTATATATACATGTGTGTATACATATATGTATGTATATATATTAAATGGAGCTCATTCTCAGTGTAGAGGAATTTTTTTTTGCATTTTAAAGAAAAGCCAAAAGTAACTCAAATAGCCACTATTGATAAAAATGTCTAGGAATAGAAAAGTTTGAGAGCAAGCAAAAATTTACATCAAACTCTGGACATCAAACTCATCTTTTTATATCAAATCTTTTACATCAAATTTACATCTTTATTATTCCTACCTACCATCACTTTGTAAATGAAATATAGATCTTTGTGGTGAGCATGGCTTTAGGGAATCCCAGTTTGTGCCCAAATATCTGGGAGAAAAATGACACTCATTTGCTTCATGATTTCTCCTACAGTCCCCAAAATAAGGCAGTGAATTTTCAATTAACAGAGAAAAGGGTAATGTTTTCCATACAAGGTCTTACATCTGAACTAATATGATGGTATGATTCAGCTCTTACTCAGACCTTCAAAGAAATGAACATGACAATTTTTTTTTCCTTTTATATGTTGGGATACAAAATTGGATGAATCAGAGTATTAAAAGGGTGAGAGAAAATGCAGCCAACAGTTTACTCAGCACCCACACCCTGTGAGACCCGGGGCCCGGGTTCAAAGGCAACAGGAGGTCCCAGCTTCAGAGAAGGCACAGGGTCCCCACAGAGGAGGCAGACTGCATCCGCAGTGATGCTCGCGTGAAGCATATAAAATGTATTCTGGGGACTCAGGGGAATGCCATCACCCCTACAGACTCACACAGGACCGAGCATCTCTGCAGGCCCTCTGAGGGTGTTGTGAATGTCTCACAGGTGTACCTTGTATAATAAAGCTGCTTTAATCTGTTGTGTTCATTCACTGTTGTTTTTATATTTTCATCAACCAAGGCCAGCAGATCTCTTCCAGGTAAGACATTACCATTGACAACAACATCAATGCTTCCTGCTATCTGTGGGGCCTGGGAAGCCACTGATACATAGCAGCCCTTGTATTCTTAGAAAGTGATTTATTCAAGGCGCATCCATGGATCACACTGCTTTCCTTTTATGTAAGTTCTGAGGACCAACGGTCTTATATTTTAAAATGCCAGCTTACAGAAACCTCCCTGGATTCCCTTGTTATGAATAAACTGGTTGTTTGAGGAGCTGTGTCAAGGGACCCTTCATAAGCCATTATTTCACAGTGAGGACTGTTAAAAAGAACAATTGGCATCAATAACACTTACCTGTATATGCAGAGGGAAGGTTACTCAGCCATAACAAGCCCAGCTTCACACAGCCACTACTTAAGAGAATGCAATATTTGGGATTTATGAGGATAAGCCCTGTCAGTAGTAATGCCCTTACGGGGGCCTTCGCGATTCATTTGGCATTGTCTGCTGTGTACTCACAGGTGAAGCAAACCTGCCATGCAGTTCTGGGCGAGGATGCTGCATCCAAGATGCAAATGACACGCACTGAAAGGTTGGCTTCTCAAAAAGGGCTGGGGCTTCAAACGCCCTTTTGACTCTTGTGTTCCTCAAGAGCAGCCACTGGACTGTTCCCAGTACAAAATCTGCAGTATTACTAGTGATCATCTGTCTCTCAAGGGTGTTGGAAAAGTGGGGGTGGGGGGCATTACCATTACCCAGAGAGGTGGGTCAGGCGTGAATCAGGGTGGCAGGGACATCAGCTGCGGACCAGGGAAGGAGCCCCCACGCGACAAGGATGAGGGGGACAAGACAACAGAGAGCGTCGAGTAACCTGTTTTGTCAGAGCTGGAATTGATGGCATTGGTAGTGATGGAGGTGAAGGTAGTCTTTGCGCTGTCCTTGGCAGTGACAGATTTCTGCTTATTTTTCATGGCTTCCAGTGCTTTGAGCTTCTTGGCATGTTTCGTGCCTTTGTAGTGGGCCGCAGCCTGGCTCTACAAAGGAGAACAAAATGAACCGTGCAATCAGGCTCATTTCTAAACTGGCATTCTCTGTATTACTGCAAATACAGACTCCCTTTCAATAACAGGTACCATTCAAGCTAATCCTGGCTGTGGTCAAGCAGTGGGGTTCTATTGAGAATGATGCTACGAAGCAATGGGAAGCAAGTTCTAAACCCTCTGGATGGAAGGGAGAAATAGTCTATTGCCTCTCTTCAGAGAAATGGAGCTGCACACTAACATATCAACAACATTTTCTTTGTGGAGTGGGGGAGATAAATAAGAATTTACAGCCGCATTGCTTTTGTTCTGTCACCAAAGATGCTGGGCTCCCAAGATTAACAAGGGCCCTGGCAAAGAGCAGCTCTCACCTTCTTGGCTCAGGAACTCTGTTTTCTCCTTCTACAATGGGTCTTATTGACACAGGACCCAACAGGTGTCTATCAGGAAAGATTCACTGATAGCAACACAAGTAGGCACCCCAGAGACCGGCACTGAAGCGTGGGAATTCAAAAGTGAATGCCCTGTGAGGTCCAAATGGAGCCACGGAAGCCGGGCAGCTTTACCCTTCCTTCCCTTTCCTTGCTTCTCACAGAGGGTAGTCTGAGAAGTCCAAGGCAGGGGCATTCTTGCAACTCGTGGGTCTTCTGTGCCCTGGTCCCCTGCCAGGAAAAACCACTGTGTTTTGACCACCTCATGGGGCCAATGCAATTCTTTGGTTTGTGCTTTCTCAGATTCCTGTAAATAGCAATATGCATTTTCCCACATTTATATTTTCTTAACATTATTTTTTGGTACCAGAGAGACATTAGGTGAGTTAGAACATCATCTTAAAAATGTGTTTATTAATATCAATTTATTTACAACTCCCCGATGGAGGGGGGCCTATCATGGCTTAAGGTGAGGTGGAAGCAGTCAGGGAGATTTTAGATTGGAAGGTTTTCCAGTTCAAAAGCTTTAAAATTGCCACCTCACAAAGAAGAGATCACAGTGGAGGGCTAAGTATACAGACATCACTTTCCATGACTTATTCAATCTTAACGTTCCATTTTGCCAGAAAATAATAGTCACACTGTCCTCTTTGTCACAGCAACTGTGATAGGGAGGGTGTTGTGGTACAATGTCTTTTTATAAATAGAGAAATATAAAATCCACACCTTCATTTGCATCATTCTGATAAGTATCCTCAAAGGCCTAGGTACCCTTATTGAAAGAACACTGGACAAGGAAAGTGTATATTAGAAACAGTTTGAACAGAAAGGACACTCATGCATCAGTTTTCCAACAACACATAACATCAAAAGACAGAGTGTGGGTCACAATCTGAAGTTAAGACTTGTTATTGTTCATTGAGGAACACAGATTGGATTAGTTTGAGCCTACGTGGAGAACACTATTTTGAAGGACGGAGCGATGTCCCTTTTTTCTCTTGCCTGACTTATTTTTAATAAATCAAATCCTTTGGATACATCTTTTGAGGGCATGATGCTATATTCAATTAGATGGACGACATGTAGTCATCTTCTCCAGAAAGCTCAGACGCGCTTTCCCTTAGAGCAAAGTTCATCTCCCTCTCCTGGTGCAGAAGTGAACACTGCACATACAACACATATTAAAATATAGGTGAGATGAACAGTGCTCTCCCCGAATGTACTTTCAAAATGTACATTTAATGCATATTTTAAGGTACCTGGCAAACCTATACTCTTAGTGGTATTTCCAATCAGATAAGACTTTAATACACCATCGGACCAAGTGATTGTCACTCTTTTGAATATTAAGAAAGTTACTCCAAAGGAATACTGCCAGTTAAGAGTGTACTTACATAAAAAAAAATAAATAAATACTCTCTGCACAGATACAGCTGAACCCATGCTTTTGGCAAGTGAAACAGCCCAGGGTGTTGTGGGGAGACGGAAGAGATCAAATCACCAGCCATCAGTGGGTCCCAGTCAAGACCCGACATGTGAAACAGCAAAACAAAACAAGACAAAAAGCATACTCACTCATTAACTGAACTACAGTCCCAAAGCACTCGGATAATAATTATCTTAATTTTAAAAAAATCTCCTATTAAAAAAGCAACTGAGCCTTCCACAGATTAAAAAAAAGAAAAAAGTTGAGTGGTACGAACATCCAAAATGCTCTGGAGAGACCGTGACGTGTAGACTTTCAGGAAATGAGGAAGCGGGGTGGAGGCTGACTGTGATGCTGCCGAGGATGTGTGTGTTGGGTGTGGATGTGGGTCTACATGTTGGACACACAGTGCAGACAGATAACCCTCTGGATATTGCAAATGTTCTTTGTCATCGATCCTTATGTTTGGAGAATTTATTGGACTGCTCTTGCATTAATTACACTGGAATTAATTTCTATATCTATATACAACTGCATCGCCACCCTAACTTTTTAAATGTTCTTTTACACTGTGGTTTATCATAGGATACTGACCATAATCTCCCGTGCTATACAGTAGGACTTTGCTGTGAATCCATCCCATACACAACGGTCTGCATCTGTGAACCTCACCCTCTCACACGGCTCCCCCCCACCCCACCCCCCTTCACAACCACCCGTCTGTTCTCTGCGACCGTGATCCTGTTTCCGTTTCATAGATAGGTTCATTTGTGTCATATTTAGGTTCCACATAAAAGTGACGCCATACAGTACTTGTCTTTCTCTTTCTGACTTACTTCGTTTAGTAGGATCATCTCTGTTGCTGTTTAGTCACTCAGGTGTGTCCAACCCTTTGCCACCCCAGACTGTAGCCCGCCAGGCTCCACTGTCCATGGGATTCTCCAGGCAGGAAGACTGGAGTGGGTTGCCATTTCCCTCTCCAGGACATCTTCCTGGCCCAGGGATTGAACCTGGGTCTCCTGCACTGCAGGCAGATTCTTTGCCACTGAGCCACAGGGGAAGCCCGTGATGATATCTAAGTCAGTCCAGGTTTCTGCCAGCCTCTAAACTCTTGGCTCATCTTGATACAGGTGTGTTGCATAAAGGTGTGTTCTTGTGTAAGGAAAGAAGGTCCATCCAGCTCTCCTTACCCCATTACCCCATTTCACTAGACTGGACAGATTTTTCAGCCACATCTAATCTCTCTGTGATTGTAGACAAAACTTCAACCTAGGGAGGAATTCATCTGGGAGAATTTTTTTAAAAAGCAGTAGTAGGCCAGAGATGTCTCTTAGGAGCTCATCTGCTTTCCTTTTGGGCAGAAGGGTGCTGGGTGTGGGTAACCTTTCCCCCCAAGGTTGTCTCTTATTATTTATCAGCCAGTCTCTGAGTCAGCTCATCCCCAGAAACCTGGGAACCGTCCAACACAAGCGGACAATTATTTTTCACAGGAACGATTTCAAGATTAAGTAAGTCTACGACTTCATCACAGATGTCAGAACTCTGCATTTTAAAACTCAAAGAGAATTAAGAATTAAGAATTAAGGGATTAGAGTACCCAGAGAGTACTCTGCTCTTTCTTAGAGCAGTCAAAGAAAAAATTGGTTTCAACAATTTGGCTTCAAATTTGCCAACAAATTTGGCTTCAAAAAGATGCTTTTAGATCGTAGGTGGAATATTCAGGTATTGCGCAATAAAAATCACTACTATTGACCTTGAACTAGCAGATGACACCATGAAATCTAACAAGTGTCATCCCAGAGGCAAGTGCTGACATTAAAGATAATGTACACACATTCCTGCCGAAAAGCGTGCAGCCACTTTAAATGTCATTCCCATATCCGTCATCAGCAGCCAGTCAGAATTTTCAATCTTCAAGTTTTGTCTTTAGCATTTCAAGAAGTCTTCCAGTTTAAGTGCAGCGGAAGTTCCAGAGCAGATAAAAATAATTGCTTAATGGCGAACATTTGAAAGAGGTGCTTCAACATTTTGAAAAAAATGTACACACACACACATTTATTTTACATAAGTTTTGTTATAAATCACTATTTTCCGTGAAGCTTACTGCAGATTTAATGTATATGTATGCTTTTGGTCCATTATCACCAATACCTTATACAGTTTTACTCTACCTGTCTTTTGCATAAAGTGTCTTAACATAATTTTTTAAAAATAGGAGGTTTACTATAACCAGACATATCTGATTATGTGACGAACTAATTTTCACAAACATGATTTCAAAAAGAACAAGACGAACTTTGCTAGTTTCTGACATCATTTAATTGGGTCACATTAAATTTTTACTAAGAGAAAATGAACATTATCCTATTAAAATGTAACATCAGAAAAATAAGGAGTGATTATCAAAGAAGTTACCCCTTTGGGGAGAGAAGAGATTTACTACTTGAAGACAGGAAATCTTTTTTTTTTTTTAATGTATTTATTTACTTACTTATCTTTGGCTGTGCTGGGCCTTCACCAGTACAAAGGCTTTCTCTCTGGCTGTTGCAAGGGAGGGCTGCCCTTCGGCTGCCCGAGCTTCACCTTGCGGGAGCTTCTCCTAGTGGAGAGCACGGGCTCTATGGCACATGGGCTCCAGCAGTTTCTGCCCAAAGGCCGAGCCGCTCTGTCACTTGGGGGGGATGGGGAATCTTCCTGGATCAAGGATCAAACCTGTGTCTCCCGACTGGCAGGCAGATTCTGTACCACCGAGTCCCCAGGGGAGCCCTCTTTTCCCGTTTTTAAAGATAATTATCTGATTTCAAAATGTTAGACTGTTTTGTAGATCAAGAATCATGAAATGATAAAATAATATAGTATCCTGAAAACTAAAACACCTACTTTAGATTTTTATTTTGAAAACTATTGACAAACTATACCTGGGAAAAAAAGTTTAAAGTCTGTGTTTTTCTCGGAACAGTTTTTCTTATGTTAAATACACTCACTCAAATCTAATATCCAGGGCAACTGCACAGGATCAGCCAGGTGGCTTAAGATCAGTACGCATTCCCACTGGTCAGTGGCTTGTAAATATTTGAGAGATCACTTTTATATATACCAATAGAAGGTTTTTAAGGTTTATAATGATTCTCTTTAAT